TTTGCAAATATTTTCTCCTATTCCATAGGAGAAAATTTTTCATTCTGTTGTTTCCTTTGCTGTGTAGAAGCTTCTTAGTATGTCCCACTTGTGTATTTTTGTTTTTGTTGCCTGTGCTTTTGGTGTCATATCTGCTGCTTCCCCACTTTAATGATGGAACACATTGAAAGAATTCTTTCCCAGGTTGATAAAGGGCTGTCATGGTACCTGGCACATGTAGATGCTCAAAAACTATTTCTTATATAATTATAGAAAACTGTTAGAACTCTGAATTGTTAAGCTATCCAAACAGTCTGAGTAGAAGCATTAACAAAAACAGTCAAAAGAATGAAGGTTACAGAAGCTGTTTATTTAATCAGAAAATGTGTTTTCATTGGTCAAAAAGACAAAAATGGAAAAGGTGGAGGTATGGCAAAAAGTAACAATTACTAGAAGGTTGACAGGGCAACAAGGAGAAAACCCATGGGTGGTGTCAGAAGACAACAAAAAATATTATCCTGGAGAAGAGAGAAGAAATATCAATTATAGCCCAAAAGTATGTCATCCAGAAATTCAAGGTTTTGAGCCTTTTATTGGTTGGGGAAGACACAGAAAACAGCCAAGATTGAAAGGGAAAGTTAAGATCTACCCACCTTAGAACTTCCTAAAGTTTTACTATATCATATTCCTGTATAACTATTAATAAAAATATAGAATATAAACTAGAAGGGATCTTGGCAATTAAGTTACAGGTGAGAAACCAAGGCCTTGTTAGGTAGTAGCTACCAACTGATAAATCCGGCACTAGAAGCTCGGTCCCCTGTGTCCCCTAACAGTCTAAATTATCATGAACTTGAGTCACCAAGATTCAGTTAAATTCCCATGTTTTGTTTGTTGAAGCAGAGATTAAGTACATGCACTTTAATCATTTTTCTTTTTAAATTCAAAGTGTCAGCAGAGTTAAAACATCAACTCTCATTGTCATGTAAACAATGGCTCCCAAATGTAGGGGATGGTCTGTTTCAGAATTCTTTTCATTAAAAGGTTATCTAGTTTGGAAATGAAAGATAAGAGTAGGGAAAGAAAATCAAGAGTTGTTCAGTAGTGTCGCTTATAGCCATTTGGCCTGTACGTGAGACATTCAGCCAACAAGAGCGCTCACTCAGTGACAGGGCACTTATTTTACTTTTCTATTTATTGTGAAGTTAGCACAGTTGTTTTGCATACCGCACCTGTGCAGGAATGCAACACATTCTGATACCCTTCACTTTCAGTAGGCTTCTTTTTCAGTTGACCTTTGGAAAAATAAGTTATTTGAAGTGGTGATTGTAATGTCTCATTAAAATGTTAAAATTACTGTATTGTCAAGCAACTCAGAATTTTTCTTGGTCCACAATGTAATTGAATAATAATAGCAACCGAAACCCTAAGTGCTCATAAAGTTATCTTAATCTTGAATCATGAGGGGCAGATCTTTAGGTGGAGAGAGAGGAGTTAAATTGGGCTAGGTGTACAGACACAAGAAAAGGAACTTCCACAAGAAAGGCTGTCAGAGACCTGTAGGTGGTAGGAGCTCCCAAAGAAGGGATGGGCTCTGGTGACAGCTGAGAGGGGTAATGGGAGGAATTCCCCATTGTGGGTCTTGGTAACATGTTAGGATCCTAAGGCAGTTACTTCCAAAGTTGAGTTTGCACAGGGATTGGGGGTGGGAAGTTAGAGAACTTGTGGCCCCCAACAGAGAAAGCATAGTAATTATCCTGATGTCCAGGTGTGGAAATTATGGGCAGGAATCATTACATCCAGAGACAGGCAATTTCTTGGATTCCCCCTTCACCACCACTGCCTCTCTCTCAATCAGTTTCTCTCTCTCCCTCTCTCCTTACCCCCCTCCCCACACCCCGAACACCTGCTCCCAATTTTGGAATAAGTATAGCTCCTCATGATGACTTTTTGAAAGAAACAGTGTTCACTTGAGTGTGTAAATTCTGACAAGTTTATTAGTGTAATTTCTATATTAGTCGCATTGAATGAATGCAAATGTTAGTTGTATTTTTGATTGATTTTATTCAGAGCACTCAACCGTGGCAAGAAGCCCTGAGTCAGGTGTACTATGCACAGTTGGTATTTAGTTGTAGAGGTAACGTAATATAACTATGACGTGATACTTGTGAGGTGATGAAATGAAAGTCAAAGATACTACTATTGGGATGTGGCCTTTTGCAGAGAAGCCCTAAAAGAACGTTTACTGCTTTGGTACGTGTTATAGGATTTTTAAAGTTTGAAAGTTAACAATCAAGAGTTTGTTTCAAGATGCTTTTATGGTTTCATTATTGCTACTGACTTCAAATATGGCCATATTTATTTACCAAAGTGTTTTAATTCCTTTTTAAATACAAAAGAGCCATTGAAAATGTCTGGGTGGAATTTCACAAAAACAAGGAATTCTTCAGACAAGGCACGAGTCCAAGCCTTAATCCAGTCTGGCCTCGGATACCAGTCCTCAGATGTTCCTTTATCAGAGTCAGTAACAATGGGCAGTTATTCACTGTAAATAAACTAGAGCCTAAGTGAGTGAGGGGAGTGAGAAAATATCAAGCTATACTGTCGCTTTGGAGAGGATCTAATTATACTAAAGCCAGTATTGCCTGTAATTTTGTAACATACTTTTATGTTTAACTCCTTGGCTCTATCTGTAGTCATGAATCTTATTACCTGATATCTATCTGTGGTCATGAATCTTGTTACCTGATATCCTATGGGAAAAGAAAATCCAACCCTTTGACATCAGTTAATTAATACTCGTTCTACCTCATCTTAGTTCCTAAGGACTTTGGTGCTGGTCCTATGTGTGGAACTAGACTTGTAAGAGCAGATGGTCCCAGGCTAAGAAATTTATGGGTCTCTTCAGTTGGGGAGCTCAGCAGCTTCTTTGATATACAACAAAGTCAAAGAATTTTAAATGAATTATAAAGCTATCTTCAGGGCTTCCCTGGTGGCGCAGTGGTTGAGAGTCCACCTGCCGATGCAGGGGACACGAGTTCGTGCCCCAGTCCGGGAAGATCCCACATGCCGCGGAGCGGCTGTGCCCATGAGCCATGGCCACTGAGCCTGCGCATCCTGAGCCATTGTCCGCAATGGGAGAGGCCACAACAGTGAGAGGCCCGCGTACCGGGAAAAAAAAAAAAAAAAAAAAGCTATCTTCAGTGACCTTTTTAATCATTCAATGGCTAAAGGAAAGGATATTCCAAATTATTCATAGCCAAAACATCCCTGAAAGGGTATAGTTTGGGGGACAGTTCAGAGCAGTGACCCAACATGTCAAATTCCCTAACATCAAATTCCAAGGAACTTGTCTCTATGAGCCTTTGTTGGAATTTAATTATATGTTGACCTGTGACACCAGTTTGAACATCTTTTTGATCTGCAAATGTGCTTGGTTGTAATGGGAATTCAAATAGAAAGTCGATCTTAACCTTTTGATGCATTCCTTCATTATGAATTACATCTGCTTACCAGTGAAATATTCTACAAAATGGGAGAGACGTGAGTGAAAGAATTGATATAACATGTAGTAGTTTAAATTTTTAGCCTGAGAATATTACATTAATTTAACTTTTGTCATGTTCATTGCTCATTATGGCTGACACTTTGAGCTACCAACTAACCTTCTGGGTTCCCAAATACCCCTGGTCTGATTTGTAAGTACACTTGTAACCATAAGACCCAGCATTCACTAGAGAAGATTTACACACAACGGGAAGCTCACATCTCGTTGAGTGAGAACATTTCCAGAAAATCTGTTTTGTGGCTTTTTTTTTTAAGTTTCTCTTTTATGTGGAAAGGTGATAGAAGTCTTCATTTATTCGGAGAACTTGGTATAAGTAAACAAAATGGAATCTTATGCAGTGACAACTTCATCTTCCTGATTGGCAAGAACACACTGACTTTAAGACCCTCTTTCATTTGCTTCCGTTTGCTTCCGTTTTCATGGTTCATTTCCAGCCAACACAGCATTTCTGAAATGCCAGCATTTGCTTTGTGTTTTCTGGCATTGTATCTAAGCAAACTAAACTTAGATGGGTGCCAACAAGGTAATGCCATGCTTTTCTGAAATTCCAGAGATCAGTTCTTTAAATGAAATTGGAGATAGTGGAGTTGGTTTGCTGTTTGATCCAAAATTTGATCTCCTTTCTGGACCAATTATTTTCTCATGGAGAAAAACTATTCTATGACCAGCAAACAGGTACCAGAGGCTAATATATACTGGAATTAATGGATAAGAAAGAGTAAGTAGTGCAATGCATCATGATCAATGTGATTAGAAAAGTAGCTCAGAGCAAAATTCTTTTTGGTGTCTTAAATGAGTGATGTGATTTGGACCTGTATGGCTGGGACAGAAACTATTTATCTGATTTCATTCTGCTTCTTAAAAGCTAGAGGGCCTTTGGCAATAGAGTACAGGCTGCCCTCTTGAAGGGAAGTCTGTGCAAGAGAATAAAATACTTGCAGGAGACAAAGTTTAATCCTTCATAAAACTTGAAGAGAGTGTGACAAATAAGAGGGTGTCTTGTATAGAGTCAGCCTTCAGTTAAATATTCATTGAATATTTGAGCAGAACTGGACCCTTCATCCTTCATGAAAGATGAAGAGTTATTTTTAATTTTCTAGCAACCTTGAGATCACAAGATAGGAGAGAGGAACTTCATTCTTGAGTGGAGAGGGAAGTAATGAGAATCTTTGCTGACAGTTGTGATATACCTTTCTCTCCTTGTTCTGTGGGAGTCATGGGGAAACCTCAAAGAAGAAAGCCTGTTGACAACTTAAACTGGAAAGCAAGAGCTGATTTTTTTTTTTTTTTTTTTTTTTTAGCGGTTCGCGGGCCTCTCACTGTTGTGGCCTCTCCCGTTGCGGAGCACAGGCTCTGGACGCACAGGCTCAGTGGCCATGCCTCACGGGCCCAGCCGCTCCGCGGCATGTGGGATCTTCCCAGACTGGGGCACGAACCCGCGTCCCCTGCATCGGCAGGCCGACTCTCAACCGCTGCACCACCAGGGAAGCTCCAAGGGCTGATATTAATTTGGTCTTTTTCTCCACATGAACATCACAATTTACAGTGCTCTATTAAACTGAGTGGGTTTTTTTTTTTCAACATTAAATAAGATATCTGGAGAGGGATTCTTCTGTTTCCCTCACCCTGAGAGCGGTTGTTTCATTGAATACCTTCTAATTACCTGACTAGTCAGACGTGTTTATCCACTGGGAAGGGAAGCATGTATTGAATACCTACTTTGGGTTCATTTAGTCAACAAAAATATATTGAGCATCTAGTAAGTGAGAGGCACTGAAACTACAAAGAATAAAACAGACATGGTCCCTACCCTCACAATGCTGAAAATCTAGTCAAAGGGAACGAGTAAGTAAGCAATTACAATATGTGTAAGTGCCATGACAGAAATAAAGATCGTTTAAGAGCACATAGGAGGGGCACTGAACCAGACTTGGGAGGTCAGAGAAACCTGACTTGAAGGAAGAGGACAGGGGAAGGTGGCAGTGGAGGCAGTGGGAAGAGGATTCCTAGCGAGGGACGAGCTTGTGCAGAGGCTCAGCACCAGTAGAGAGCAGCGCATATTTGAGGAACTGAAACTGAATGTAGCTAAGTGGAAAGTATAAAAAAGGGGAGGAAAAGATACAGGCGGGAGACACATCAGACAAGGCTTTTGTAAGAAAAGCCAGGGTGTCCTTGAGCTCAATCCTGATAGCCATAGGGAGACGGGGAATGATGAGATCAGATCTGCACTTTTGAAAGGTCACTCTGACTGCTGTGAAGAACAGGTATGCAAGACTGGATGCAGAGAGACAAAAAGTTGCAGAATAGCCCAAGTGAGAGATGATGGGGAACTGCATACAGGAAGTAGCGGTGGGAATGGAGAGAGGCAGATGCATCTTAAACATTTAATGTATTTAAAAGACTTGGCAGGACTTTATGACTGACCAGATGAAAGAGGAGCCATGACTCTGGCTTGGGCAACTAGATAGATGGTAGTTCATTCCCTGTATAGTATAACAGAAGAGCAGGTTTATAGGGAAGGGGAGGAGGATGAATGTAGTTTGAGATCACTATAAACTATCCATGATGCTGTTCTGTTGGCAGTTGAATGTATGATTCTGAAACCGAAAATAAGATCCACCTTGGAGATATGGATTTGGAGAGTATCAGCCTGAGGTCCTATGAGTAAGACCTCCCAGGAAGCTGTGACCCAACCAGATGGAACATTAACATGAAGGGGTAGGGTGGAAGAAGAGAAACCCATAGGAAAGACTGAGAGATGTCAGAGGAAAAAAAAAAGAAAACCAGAAGAGATCGCTGACGTGGAAGTCAAGAGAAGAGAACCCATTAAGAGGGCTGGTCTCAGTGTCAAATTACTGAGGAGCAAAGTAAGTCAAGGGTTGAGCAATATTCATTGGATTTAGCTACAAGGAAGGTGTCTGTGACCTTGACAACTGCATTTTCAAGGAGTGAGAGAAGTAGAAGCCAAGCTTCAGAGGTTTGAGGATGAAGAAGTGGAGACCTGGAAAAGTCAAATAGTTTGGTTATGGAGGGGAGGAGATGGAGAGGGAGAAGCCAAGGAGAGAAGGGAGGGAAGGGAGTAAATAGGGAATAGAGGAGAGGCAAGAAGGGGAGAGGAAGAGAAGGGAGAAAACTGGACAGAGATGCAAGGTTGAAGGAAAGATTTTTGTGTGTTTGCTTTGCAGATTAGAGCTACTTAAGGATGTTTGAAGGCTGAAAGGAAGGAGCCTTTGGAGGAGGGGAGGAGGATAATGGATAGAGCATAGGATGGAGGAGATTGGATCCGTAGCACATGGGAAGAATTAGCCTGAGACAGGCTAATTTCATTGTAACTGGAGAAAAGGGGAAAAAACCAACGGTGTGGATATAAGCAATGCTGGAGGTGGGCAACTGAGGGGGGAAGTTCTTATCTAATGGTTTCTTGTATCTTCCCTCTGAAATAAGCAGAGAGGGAAATAGGAGAAGAAAGAATGAAAATTTGAGGAGCATGAAGGAGGTTTGAAGTGGCTACTGGAGAGAATTGGAGACACTGCTGGGCAGCACTGAGGACCCAGGTGAGGGTGGAGAATATACCAGATATTGGCAGCGATCTGCTTAGTCATGTGATTTGACTGACCATCAGCATTTGAACCCCCAGTATTGATGTGGGGAGGCAGTTATTGGTCCAATATTGTTACATAGTTATGTTTGGTTGCAAGTGACAGAAAAAAAAACATGAAAGAAGTCAATTGCCGTCTTACATAAAAATCCAGGTAGACTAATAAGGCTAGAATAGAGCACCAGTGTGTCAGGAATCAAAATTCCTTCGAGTGCCTTACTTTGCCATCAGGGTTTGTCTTCCATGTCATGTTCTAACATGGTTACTCCAGCTCCATCCATTTTGTTTGCATTTTGGTCAGCAGGAAGAAGGCAGGACCAGCAGAAGGGCATATGCCGCTTCTACCTAAATCCATTGACCATAGCTTGGTCCTTTGACAAATCTAGCTGCAAGGAGGCCGAAAATTTTAGTCTTTATTATGGATGGTCATGTGACCAGTTACATTTTAAATTTAAAAATTAGAGCCCAGACCTTGGGAGATACTAAGAATCACTGCCACAATAGGGTTTACCTGGGTAGGTACAACAGAATGGGGCTAGGAAGTAACTGATATTGTCAAGAGGGATTTAAGTAGACAGAAGGGAGCCAATAAAGGTGAGGAAGGAGCTGAGTGATCTGGTCATTTTTGTTCAGGTATCTCTTCACCCTAGTGTGGTTTATGTATTTTCACATTTCAGAGGAAAGTAAACCCCCAACTTCAGGGTGATGTGCCCTGATTGTCTCAGCCAGTATGTCTTGGCGGGGCACTATTGGCATTTGAGGCAGGCCAATTCTTCATTGTACAGGACTGTCCTGTACATTGCAAGACATTCGAAGCTCCTAGCTCCCACCCACTAAATGCCAGTGATACCCCAGTCATAACAACATGTTTCAATAATCTTAAGGAGGTATTACTGCTCACAGTTGAGGACCATTGGTCTAAATTAATCATGGTAATCCCCTCTCCCTTGATTGGCTCAAGGGTGGACAATTTAAACCTTAGTGAAGTAGCACATGGCTATCTCCTAGTCACCATGATTGGTTCATGCTATTCCAATTAATGGAAGGTTAAGATTTTTGTTTGATGCTTATAGACTCACTCCCTCTCAGTCCCTCTGGACATAATGAGGAAGTATGTGGGCCCAATTGCTGCTGACATCCAGCCTAAAAACACTAGGGGAGTCAGTCTCAGAATAAAGCAACGCTGAGGGTTGGTTGAGTGGAGAGATGGAAAGAAACAGAGACCATAGTAATTCTGAACTGCCGCCAACCCAAGGCCCTTGCCACTGATGAATTTTCAGCCCATTGAGTCAATAAATGCCCTTAATGTTCAAACCAGTTAGACTTGAGCTGCCTGTTACTTGCAAATGAAAACACATTTAATAAAAGAAGGAAGTAGAGGAAGATTGGGTCACGGGAGTAAAAGTATAGGGAAGGATGTAAATGAGAGTAAAGGATGTGATAGATGAATGGAGGGGCTTAAGCCTTGGGTAGAAACCAAGGAAAACAGGGAGAAGAGGCACGCTGAGTTTGGCTGGATGTAAGATTTTATCAAAATTAATCTCTCTTCTCTTGGACTGGGGATTGAGGGTAATCAGAACAGTTCTAGCATTGTGCTAGGTTGACCCAATGAGGCTTATATTAACTCTAATGTGTAGAAGAAGAAACTCAAGACTCACCCAAGGACCTAAAGCTAGTAGCTGGCAGAGGGAAGTCCTAGTGAGATTGACTCCAGTACTCAAGTCCTTTCCGCTAATTCCCCACTGCTACTTGATGCCAAAGAGGTGGAAACAACCAGATCTACCCCTCATTAATCCTTTCCACACCTCAATCCAGGATGGCAGGTAAGACTGACTGGGTCAGTAGGACTGTTTTCCCCTGGATAATGGACGGTCTACCCACAGGATGTACTGTGTTTGGGGTACAAAGCACAGATGGGTCATGGGCAAGCTGGAGTGGCAAGAGAGCTTACAAAACCAACACCAGCACAAATGAAAGGAATAAACCCAGGGTGCACCAGGAAGGAGAAATGGCTCAGAGGTTCCTGGTGAGATGAAAAGTATTGAATGTTAACTGTCGAGCATCGAATATTAGATTCTGTGCATCTGCATTTTTTTCATTTCAGAAACTTATTTTTTTCCCATTTTACTTTATTGTTTGACTAGTTAATGCTTACACATGGTACAAATACAAAAGTTACAAAAGGTATACAGTGAAAAATAAGTCTTTCTCCTCTGTCCTGGAGCTACTGTCCCTGGAGGCAACCAGTGTTGACAGAATCAAGCCCTGCCCTCTCCCTCACCCCTCCCCTCCTCCGTCATAGGATGAGGTACATAAGCTGAGTTCTCTTCATTCAGTAAAGATACAGACCTTCCTAATGTAGGAGCCTTGAAATGGACACACTAAATAAATCAGATTTACAAAAATATATATGGTAACTTTATTGTCTATAACGACTTCTTGCTAAAAAGCCCCCATTGCTGATGTAGGTGGAAAACACTTGATCTTGCAAATAAAATATATCTCCTTTAGGTTTAAACCAGTCTCCCTTGGGAAATCACTCAGTCTTTCGGGGTTTCTCCCTCATCGCAGGGTTCTTCTCTCCCTGTTCCCTCTCCAAAAATATTGCCCAGGTGAAAGGCACGCTACAGGGGAGGTGCAGGGGAAGTCTGCCAACCGCCAGGCCTTCCTGACCACGAGGCCATGGTGAGGAAATTGTTTTCTCTGGCCTTTGGGCTACAGTGATTCCAGCTACTGACAGCCACGGTCCCCACCACAGCCCTCAGTGGTAATGGCCGCACACCTTGTACCTTCTTGGCCCAAGGCCAGGCCTCCTCCAGCCCGTTCATCCTGTCAGCCTTCGTCATTCTCCCACGGGCTCTGCTGCAGACCATGCACAGGCCCGGGAACTGGGAGCACTTCTCAAGGCCCCTCGTTGCCCAACCCTAGCATTTCCGCTTCTCTGTAGTTGGCCTAGTTCCAAAGAGAAAAGCAGGGTACACATCCCTCCTGCCGTAGGGCCCCTCCACCCCTCATCTGGGGCAGCCCTGTGCGCACACCCTCTGACTCTCACAACTTCCTGCCTGCTGCTTTAACGTTTATCTTCCTTTCCAGTCATGGGAAAACGGCTCTGACATCACATCCTGTGTTCTTCCTGGCACTGTCTGTGACCTCCTCAGGGGCAGCCCTCCAAGCTCTGCCTCATCTGTGTATGCAAATACATTCTTTTTTCTTTCAACAAAGTCTGGCTTTTACGAATCAAAGGCAGTTAATTTCAAACTATTGTCTTGCTATGAATTTTTTTTTCAATCCTATTTTGAAACTCAAAGTAAATGATGACTTACCCATTCTTGGCTGGGCTTTTTCCTCCCCGTGACTCAAAGCATGTCATTGACTCATTGGGTGGAGGATCCATGGGGACTGGGTTTACCGGGAAACACGCTGGTTGAATATCTCACAATGTTATCTCCATGACATCAGCATAAGGCTTCCAGTGCTGCGGGGAAGCCAGTGTCAGTGTGGTAAATGTTACTAAGTTTTCAGCTGTGACTTGCGTAAACCCACTTGATGCAAAAACTTCATGGTCCTCAAAGTGAACAGAAACCTGATTCTACCGTTACCCACCCAATTAGGCAGTGCAAGCCTGAGTCATTCTGGATTCCTCTCTTTTCTTCACACTCCATATATCACCCATCTGCTATTCAGAACCACCAAAGGGAATGGGAGACTTTTTCTAATTGTCACAAAAGCACTGTGTGGCCCAGCTGTGGCCTTGCTGCTGAAACCCTCAGCCTGGCTGCCAGCATCTGTCATTGGACTTCTGCCATTGTCTCCTCCGTGGTCTCCCGCTTCTATGTCCGACCTCCTACAATCTATTCTCCACAAAGCAGCCAGACTTTTCTTTTTAAAATATAAATTAGATCCTATCACTTCCCAGCTTCCCTGCTTTAAATCCTCCAATAGCTTCCTATCACTCTGACCTGACGCCGCCTCCCTCTTCAGCCTCATCTTCCAAGCCTTCCCTCTTACTCTACTAGAGCCACACTGCCCACCTTTCTGCTCTCAAATACACCAGGCTCATTTCAACCCCAGGTCCTTTGCACTTACTGTTTCTTTGCTAGCAGAGCTCTTCCCTAGATTGTCGCACTACTGCCTCCTTCTCAGCCTTCAGATCTCAACTCAGATGTCACCACGCGGCCACATCCCACCCCAGGTACCATCGACCATATTACCCTATTTTGTCTTCTTCATAGCCCTTAGTTCCTGAAATTGTATTATTTGTTTGTTTAAATGTTTGTTACCTCTCTCCTCCTTACTTGGAGGGCAACCACCTTGGACAGGGACTTGGTTTGCCTTCTTCAGCCCTGTATTTTTGCATTAAACAGTGCCTGGCACATAATAAGCAGTAAATATGTGTGGACCAAAGCCAACTAAGTTCATGCAGAGGGGAAAAGGAGAAAGACAATATTTTTAAACTTGACAAGCACTCATGGATACCTTTTTATTAGTTTACAATTTAGAAGAAATCATTCTACTAGTTTCTTTGTAAGGGAATCATAAGATTAATGTGGCTTTCCAGTGAGAAACTTGGCTGCAAGACAGAACTAGCATCTATATTTATGCCACAGAAAAGCAGCTTTTTCAAATAATCAAGTCAGATCAAGGTATAAATTGTTAGCCTCATTTGCCAGGTACAAAATTTGAATGATTGCATGTGTGTTGCTGTGTGCTTAACCTGCTACAGATCACCTGCAATTTTAAGGTTCCCTGATTGCTAAAAGTTGTTTACTTGATTTCTTTCATTTAAGTATAGCTGAAGCTGCAGGGCTGATCAGAGGCAAGATGTAAAAAGAGAGGTAACATTAGTGATTTTTCAGGCACACTATAAGACAATTACCCACAATCTTTAGGTATTTCTTATACTTTCAAAACTAAACGCTAAGCACTCCTTGACTTGGGCTAAATTTTTTTTGAATAACTGATACCCTGGAAAGTCCTGAACAGTTGCACAAACACTGAAGCAGGGACTTTAAAACTCAGCCCTGTGTGACATGTTTTAGAGCAAAGATGTAGGAAAATTAGGCCTCATCTTCTTCAGAATAGATGAGGTCAAACATACTTCCCCATTCCTGGTGTCGCAGAGTCTGACATTTCTGTCATTAGAGCTTCATTTTTTTGTCCTGGAGTTCTCTTTTAAAATGCATATTTTCCTGGAAATATATCAGACTAATTCATGAAGATATTGAAACTAATTAGGTCCATTTTTCCTTTCGGTGGGAGAGATTACCAGCAAGAGAGCCCTGAACAAGAAGGAAAGAGATGAATTGGGAGAGACTAGAATCCCCAGCTCTGGCTTTTCTGAACCTAGACTTGGCCCAGTACAGTACAGTAGTTGTTGAAGTACTTTGGATAATAATATTGTGGGGCAAATGATTTTAAGAGTGAGTATTGTGATGTGTTACTTAATCTAAGAAAATGGATTTTTTAAACTTCAAGTGTTGCTATGCAATACGAATTTTGATGAATTTTTTCCAGTTAGGGTCCCAACAGGAAACAGATGGTACACTTAAATTAGGATAAGTTGAGAAGAGCTTCTTTTCAAAGAGACTGTTTGTAAGGAGGTTGTTGGGGGTGTAATGTAAACCCAAGGGACAGTCTGGGAACTAGGGGTTAAAAGAAACAGAGTGGTTGACACCCTGGAACCCTAAGGGAGTGATTATCAGCATCTGGAAAGGGAGTGTTATTTGGAGCAGACCACAGTAAGAGGAGCAGTGACCTTGACCCAAGCCAACCAAAGGCAGTCTCACTAGGAAAAAGCCAAGGGATGAATACCTTGACCTTCTCTGGTCTTCTGCAAGGGCTCCCCATTGGCCAAAGCCAACTGGAAGCCAAAGAGAAAGAGAACATATTCATGCAGGGCCAGCCTCCTGGGCAGAGAGGAAGGTAGAAAACGGTGGAGAGTGGATCTCAGGAACAGTGTAATGATATTTCCATTTGCTTGACAAGAAGGCTTGAGGAAGAGCCACCCAATATCCCTCCCCCTTCCCACTGCATGCTTTCAGAGTGAAGATGTCTTGGGCTTGCGGAGAGGAAAAGGTGTGTTCTTAACATCAGCTTTGGAGTTTTGATTAATATCTTACCCTTATCTAATTTCTGTATCAAGACTGTTTATAACTGAAGTTGAAAGTCTATGATGCCAGAGTGGCCAGAAAATTTAAGGGCCTGCCACAATTTTCAGCCTAGGGCAGAGAAAGATGACCTCTCTTCCCCCTCACAATCTGACCTTATATATATGTAAAGGAACAGTGGGGGCAAAAATAAATATATAAGGTTGCTTTTCGATTAGGTCAGAGAATTGTGCTTATTCAACATACCACTTATGTAATCTTTACCAACTTTCTCACATTACAAGTAATGAAACTAAATTCCAGAGAGCTTGATTCACATGCCCTGTTTTAGGAGGCCATTTCACGCCCAAATCTAAACTAGAAGTATGAATTGAGACATCTATATGATATGCAGCTATAGGCTTACATAAGCAATTAGCACTGGGGCAAATTTCAAACAAGGCCAAGGACATTGACTAGCTATCTTTGCTCTGTCCCTTGGCTGCACAGATTACCTTTAGGTAGCTCAGTATATGGTGAGTGGGGAAGTCTCACTGGACAACCTAGGCTTCCACGGTACAGTGATTTGTACATCTGCTCTGCTCTACATCACAGGTTTAGACCTTTGATTTGTGATTCAGAAACTCAATTTCATCTGTTCACCCAAGAAGAATCAGGTCCTGATGAACTGATAGATTTATCAGCCTCACAACAGATTTACTGGTAAATCAAAATGTTCATTGAATTACCCTGAGAAATGTTACTATCAAAAAGACAAGATTGGTGTCAGCTGGTCAACAGTCTGTGGCTGAATTGTTTAGAGAAAGAATATAGACAAATCAGACACTCACATTCATTCTCAAGAAAATAACTCAAAGTATAAATCTCACTGACAGCGGGCCAAAGACATAAACATCACATGTAAATGGCAACACATAACATTAATAAATTGCTTTACTGATGGTATGCTCTGCATTTTTGCAAATTCCTAGATGTTTTTGATGTGTATATATCACAGTGTGGTGAGTTGGCATTGTAAAGCTTTGATTAGCCAGAACTTAATTAGAACCTTAAATTTAAAAGAATTTCTTTTGATGCATGTTCCAGTTACCAGTTTATTTCTTCTCAGCTCAAATCCACCCTTTACTACCCTGCTTTGTGATGCTGGAGTTGGACCCTGTAAATATTTCTCCTTTGCAGCTGGCATGATGCCTTGTCAGTAAAGAGCACGGGAGGGCCACTGCAGGAGGAAAGTACTGCTCTTCTTTGTTCTGATGTGGTTTTCCTTCTCCTGTAGTGCATGGCGGCCAGTGGGTACCAGAATCCCGACCACACTCAACCACCCAGCACGTCTCACAGGCACTCCACGAGGTGATTTCTTCCCCATCCTGACTTGCAGCACCTCAGTGAGTTTCTCTACCACCCAATGGATGACAGCTACACCCTCTTCAGTGAGATCAGAATCTCAGCCTTGAGGGGAGAAAGGGTTCTTCCAAATATGTCCCTTCCTTGGGTGTTCGGCCTTAGTCCTAGGGCAAGCGTTCTCAGTGGGGGTAAAAACTGGTTCTTGGGGGGGGAGGTGTGAAATAATCTTAAGTATTACAATGGTTTATGGCCCTGAAAAAGGCCACAGCACATAAACAGATACACAGTATATCTGCAGTGTTAAAATTTCATGGAGGGGAGCATTAAGGGGGGAAAATGTCTAAAAAAGCTCCTTAGGGGAGCAATAATGAAAAAAGTTCAGTAACACTGCCTTAGAAAGTACTGCTCCCCATATAGACTATTCCTGTATTCTTTAGAGTTCTGTTTACTCCTTAGTAGTTAATCCCACTTTCAGTTAATATACTTTATATTAAACTTCCCCTGTTCAGATTACTTTGTGGTATAGGGACCACTGCAATGGAATTATACAGTAAGGGAGATAGACTGGGCTCAACTCCAAATAGAGTATGGGTAAGTGAGCAAGGGTGGAGGGGTCAGTGAATGGAAAATTATTAAGAGGAAAATCAGCAGTAAGCGGCATTCTGGCTAAATCAAACTAACAAGATTTTTGCTGAAGATAGACCTGGGTGATCAGACATCACCTGAGGGATGGTAGAGGATGAGGAACCTGATCAGATATCAAGGGTGATCAGATATCGAGGGTGGAGGGTTCTGGTTAAACTGACTTAGCGGGGTTCTTGCTAAAGCTGGATTTCACAAGGAAGTGCAGAGAAGAGATGGGCCTAGGAGAAGGTTCAGGAGCCTGACTAAAGTTTGGTGAAGTAAAGAATCTTTGTCAAAACATTGACAAATGAACTATCTATGAAACAGAAACAGACTCACAGACATAGAGAACAGACTTGTGGTTGCCAAGGGGGAGGGGAGATGGGGGAAGGAAGGATTGGGAGTTTGGGATTGGTAAATGCGAACTATTATATATAGACTAGATAAACAACAAGGTCCTAATGTATAGCACAGGGAACTATGTTCAATATCCTGTGATAAACATAATGGAAAAGAATATGAAAAAGAATATGTATATGAATAACTGAGTCACTTTGCTATACAGCAGAAATTAATACAACATTGTAAATCAACTATACTTCAATAAAATAAAATACAAAAGATCTGGACTGAGAAAAAAAAAACATTGACAAAGAGTAAAAATAGCCATTTCTCACAAGTAGAAACCCAAACGGCTAAGAAGGGTTAAAGAGAAGTTCAGTGTCACCAGTAAACACAGAAATGCATATTAAGACTTTTTAAGATACCACCTACACACAGATTTGTAAAAATTAGAAAGCTGGAAAATGATTTGGCATTCTCAGCAAAGAGAAAACAAGGACCCTCGTGTGCTGCTGGTGGGATGGTAAATAGATACAGGTATTCTAGAGAGCACTCTGGCAGTATTTAATTTGTGTGTGTCTGTGTGTGTGTGCTTGCACACATTCACATGTACACATGGAACCTATGACTGGGGAATTCCTCTCTGCACAGGTTCATAAGGAGATGTGTATAAAGATGTTTATCACAGGGTTGTTTGCGATACAAGGGAGTTAGAGGCAGTCCAGGTGTCCTGTCACTAGGGGGATGGACATATTAAAGGTATCTGACACACGCTATGGAACCTTATGTAGCAGTTCAAAGAAATTAGCTACATGTGCATAAAGGAACATGGAAAGAACTTAAAAACAGCACTGCATTAAAAAATATCAATAAACAGAAATGATCCATTGAACAATACAGAATTAAAACACATTCATAAAACAATATTATATTAAAAACTTGGGGGTCCGTGCATATCCAAGCACATATTAAATATATCAGAGTGGCTGCTGATGCTGGAGATGAAAGGGCAAAATAATAAAGTAGAAGAAGAAAATGATAAAATGAAACAAGAGAAGACCTTGCATGGATGAATGATCATGTACCATCATGAACTGAGGAGGGTGATTAACTCAAGTCTTTGCACTTAAAGTCCAAAAGAAAAAAAAAAAAGGAAAGATGTAAACCCTGTCATTCCTGAAGTTTTTTCATTCCACAAATGAGATGTGATGCCTGCCTTTTGAGATAATCCATGTGAAGCGCTGTGTGAGTAGCTCATCCATTTAACCACACTTGAGCAAAGCACACAACAGTGGAAAGCCAGAGGATGGGAATAAAATAGAATGGAGGATACACCTGTAAACTGAACTCTGTAAACCAAAGCCTAAATGCAGCCTTCTTTGTGAAACCAGAAGTGCAGTATGGAACCAAGAATGAACATATCGTTCTGTGGTATCAGATCAGTGACCCTAGCCTTGTTACTTCATAAGCAAAAAGAAAAATTATTTGAAATAATATCTTACTATGAAAATCAGAATAGAGGAGACAAACAGGTAGCTCCAAGACATCTGCAAAGACAATTTAGTTGGCAGAGGTGGATTGTTTGGCATCCATCAGGCAGTATAAAATGCATGGTATTCATATGTTTATATACATGATTTTTTTAAGTGAATTGATCTCAGGATTCTGTTTTTTTTCAAAATGCCTTCAATCAAACAGGAAACACAAAAGAGCCTGGTCCGATTCCAGGACTCTTCCTTTTTAAGGCTGCCAGGTCTATCCTCTTGCAGGGAATGAGAACGAACAAGGCTGAATATTTCTCTGTGTTTCTGAAAAGCGCTTGGCTCACCGAGTCCTTGCAGCTGCGTACACCACCTGTGGAATGAATCTGTTACCCTTTTTCAGTTCATTCTTTCTTATCTCCAACTGCCTGCTTAGACAGATGATTGCTGGGAATTCACATGTCTTTTGTTTTTCCTTAGCTTTAAACCTATAGCCACCTAACTTAAATTACACTCTAAAGTTAGCAGTAATGCTTTTAAATGGAAGCCTCAGAGGTGGGGAAGTGAGAGAATAAGGAGTAAATTCTTGATTCTCTGCTGCTACATTATCACTTGATCCTCTAAATTATCTTTTATACTTAAAAATTTTTTATTAGGCCATTAAAGTGAATGATCTATAAACTGTATTCAATCAGAATTCTTAGATATTTGAAAACGTTTTTGGCTACCATTTCATTTGGCTATTATTTCACAGTAGACTCACACTACGGTTTAACTAAAAGTGTAAAGCTATCCTTTAGCAGCATACCAAATTTCATTAAAGAAAATTAAAATGCATACACACTTAAAAGAACACCACTTTTTTTTTTAAACATGTTTATTGGAGTATAATTGCTTTACAATGGTATGTTAAAAGTGGGTAAAGACATGCTTTCAAAGTAAAACTATCACAAAGTCTGAATTTTATTGGAGAAAAGAACTATAGCAAGTACGGGCCAGTTCTCAACCTCTTTTTTCCCCTTTGCCTTCCCTGCAGTTTCAGCACTCCTACATAATGAGCCTCACCTGGGAAGGACAGACATCTATGCCATAGTTTGAAAAGATCCCTTTTCTCTTCCTCACACCACGTTTATTAGTTTTCAAAGACCATATGGTGCTAATTGATGATAAAAGTAACAGCGTGAATCACAGACTGTTTTATGGACCAGTCCCTACTTCATCTTGAACGGGATGACATAAAGCAGGCATCCATGGGGCCACTGACATAAAACAACCCCGAGTCCCCACCTGCAGAGAGGCAGTGAGTACCCAAACAATGTTTATTGATGTTTTTAACCTTATAATTAAATTCCATGCTTCCTCGGCTATTGGTTAAAGTATTATTTATCATTCAATTTAAAGTTTTTTATTGGCTAGTATTAAAGTATTTGCTATATTATCAAAAGCTTAAAATATTGTTAACCAATTAACCAGTTTCATGATGTAGTATCTGGATTTGATTTTGTTAAATGTTATTACACATTCATGTAGAAAAGTTACAAAATAGAGCAAACATTTTGAAGAAAAAGGAGAAAAGGGCAAAAAGAGGAAATATTTTTCATAATTGTACCAACCTAGAGAAAACAGCATTTTCCCATATATACTTCCAGTCTTAAATAAGAATATTTTTGTCTTAAACAAGAATATCTTACTTCAAAATTTTCACCCAAATAGGCTTGATTTCTACAAAGGTGAGCTTCTGAGAAACCAACTTACTTTGTGCAGACAGCCGATTCTGCTTTGGGGGGCGGGGAGGAGGAGGAAATGGCTCACATCCTGACAAACAGGGCATCATTGTTACTCTATCAGAATTGGCATAAAAGCCTTCTTCAGCCAGAAAGACAAGTATGTGACAGAGAATCCAAAGAGTTGGCCCAGTTTAAGGGGAAAGTGGCTTAAAAGCAGATTTTATTCACATACAGAGTGTGCTAGGCATTTCCCACGTCTTCTCTCTAATTATTACAACCCAGAAAAACATGGGTTTGAGTTCCAGCTGTTCCTTACAAGCCAGGTAACCACAGATAAGTTAGAAGTCACCGTTTTTTTGGCAAAGACCAATGAGTTATTAAAACAGAGCCCTTAGTGCCTGGCCAGCATTAAGGTTTCCATAAATGTAGGCTGCAGTGTTGTTATGGTCGTGGATTGCCTTCAGAATTATATGAAATACTCTATTTGAAACTCCTACTGCACTGAGGTATTATGATTACAATACTTAGTATTACAAGGAGGGCTTGTTCTTAACCGCATGCCTTTTCACTTGGCGGCACTCCCCAGTTTTTTCCTCTAGTCCAGTGCTGACTAGTTGGACTTTCTATGACCATGGAATTGGTCAATAATCTGTGCTATCCAATATGGTAGCCATTAGCCAGAGATGGCTATTGAGCTCTTGAAATGTGGCTAGTGCAGCTGAGGAATTGAATTTTTGCTTTAATTTTAATTAATTTAAATAGTCACAGCTAGTTTCTTGATATCTGAATGTTCCTACCCCATCTCATCACAGTAATTACCTTTAGTCACAAAGCAGATCCATTTGTAAGTACTTTAGTAAATGTCTCCTTATTCACACTGTTTTGAATAACATCATTTGACATAAAACCTTTTTAAATTGAAATATAGTTGACATAGTTCCTTCCTGATAAATGATAAAATACAATCATACCATTAAGAAAGTAGAAACGAACTGGATATATATCCAGCGTCAAGCTTCTCAGCCAAGTCTGGCTCTCCACTAGGCACTTTGCAAACTTGAAGGAGACTAACTTAATAACCGTTTCAAAAAAACATTTGGCAGTTTAGATGTTTCTTTACAGATCTGGAATGAAAAAGGAATACTTCTGCTATCAAACGCCCTTCCTCACTGTATAGAGCAGAGTCTTCTTGATCTGCTCTGATTCCATGCCTTTAGGTCAGCTCTTTACCTCCCTGTGGCCTCTTGCTCAGAGCCCCTTTCTGAGCCTCAGGCTGATGCCTTCACCCACACCTGTTGGTGTGGAGTCTGAACTTGACCAGGCTCCCCAAGGGCAGCCACTGAGTAACTCAGAGTCAGTGACTAAGCAGCTGGGTCCTGGAAGTGAGCCCACATCCCCTTTTCTGGGTTCCAGGGTTCCTGCACCTCTTCCCTCTGTTATAAAGCCAGTCTTAACTTCAGGCCCTAGATGAATCACCTTACACTTATATCAAAGAAAAGCTATAAAACCAAAAACAGTTTTGCCTTAGGTAAGACTAGCTCTTCCTTCTCTCCCAGGGAAAGGCTGCCACCTGCTGTAATACATTAGCACTGGGATTTTCCAAGGTCACTGAACAACCACTTGCACGTACAAAATAATGCAAAACCCCACCTGCCTTCACCTCTGTGTGTCAGGAGTGTAAATAGGAGGGCAAACCAGGAGGCATTCCTCTTAATTCCTTGACATAGGGCAAAGAAGCAAACCTATCCATATGAATGGTGCCCAGAAGGAATTGGCATCACTCTGACTCTGAAGATGAGAGCATCCTTTCTTCACCATTCAGCAACACTGTTTTTCAAATTAGCTCATAGTAAGCTTCATAAAATCTCTGCTGTTAAAAGGCTTATCACTTACTCAGTCCTTCTAGTTCTGTGTATATTTATCTATTCTTCACAGCCCTGGCAAGTCTTTGGTAGGTGAAAGGATGAGAGAAGAATAAAAATTGTTAGTTTGCAGGACAGCATCCCTGAGCCTTGCACTCTCTCTGCAAAAAAAATCCCCAAGCTCCCTTTCCCCCACTCCCACACCAACGCCATTCATCACCCACTAGCTGTGGTAGTCTACCTAAACACACACACACACACACACACACACACACACACACACACACACACA